GATACTAATAATACAGTCCTTTCTGAACCGCCACCTGATCTTTGGGCAGCTGTGAATAGAGGTCTACAGTAGCCTGGTGGAAATGGTTCTGACGACACATGAGCCAAATCTCTACCGCATAGAGAAGCACTGAAGCGTCAGTGCCACAGTGGTTAGAACTCTCGCCGACAATGCACGTGGTCTGAGGTTCGATCCCCCTCCGACGCACACCTGATATCTATGGTCGGCCTGCAAAAATTTAGGCTACCGATATCACATGCTGAAAATTCCATACTTGTACCAAAAATACTGTATGAAATCAAGTTGTAATCAAAAAATCAAAAAAAATATTAGTGTTGGAAATTCAGGTCTTGTTTCTTCTGCTGACTACAGCAAATTGCTACACTGCTTTCAAAGCAATGAAATTTTTTCTTTCCACTACGATCCTACCTTCGACATCCTCATCTGTGCCAAAGGAATTTGGGATGAAGGTTGTTAGATAAGTGAAAGTGGTGGGTTCTTTTTAATATCTCTTGTTGATGGTAATTTATACTTCTTGCTGCTGTTGTTGATGATTAGGCACCTTCACGACCACTGTCTTTTCTTTATTTACTTGGGGTTATGTCTTCTCTACCTCTTCTACCAACTTGCCAGTTTTTCTCTACAAACCTTTTGGTTCGTGCGACACTAGCCATGAATCAGCCATGAAACCAAGATCTTAGGTGGTTGGAGGCGATCGGCAGGAATTTTGGACCTAAGTTTCGTGGTAGTTGGCACTCACTACCAAGTAAGGCGTATCTGAAGTCCTGAAGGAACTCCTGTCCCTTCCGATATTCAGACGCGCATCACCCAGTGAGTGCTGCAGTCAGAGACTTTACCACTGAGCTAGCTGTTCTGGCTCGCGACTGACCTCCTGTAGGACTGTGTTGGATATTTTTCTGATTGAACACCAGTTACTTGTGTCCCATGAAAGAAATCCAGATCTTCTAGAATCTTCTTTTCGGTTCAACATATATGTGTCGTCTCCTTTTCCATGGTCTCTTGCATAATTCACTCCACTAAAGTCAGGAATATCATTGCTGACAGTCTACTGTATTTTTGTTGTACCATGCTGACTAGCTTTGGAACATAAATACACACAAACACACTCACTATTGGTACTTAAATTCAATATATGTATTTTCTTCTTAACTCCTATAAGTTCCCAGTGGGACATAAGGCTTTCAAGATAGAGGCCTGAAGTCTCGATCGCAGTGGTCTTTATCTCTACAGGATGGGGTTGCTAGTCTCGTGCCTACACTTCGTCCTTTACCAGCCTCATTACTGGCTTAGCAAGATAAAGGTGTCCGACGGCCGGGGATCGAACCCCAGACCAGCTGCGTGGCTGGAGAACAGTCTACTGCTGTGCTACCGACGTATATATATATATATATATATATATATATATATATAAGAGAATACGATAGACAGTGGAATTTACTAACTACAAAAGAACGAAGCAAGTATGCGCTCTTATGTCCTTGATACTATATTTATTTAAATCACCTGTTTGCCAGTCCAAAATCAAGAATAATGCTAGAAAAAAAAACAAATTGAATAGAATATTTTACCAAGAAGAAAACTTTGAAATTGTTTTCATTTTCACAAAGATGAAACACACTACTTCGCCACATGATACATGAGGAAACTTCTACAAGCTATGCAGATGGTAAAGTGGTCATTACAACAAAATGTCTTCACCATACTTCAAAAAGGTTTCTAAGAGTCCGTATCAATGCAGTAACTTGTCACCGAAGTAATCTTAAACAGAACAAAAGTCATTTTAATTGCGACATCTATCATTTGGTGGATTTGTGAATGTCAAGTGTGTCAGAATTTCAACGGTAGAGTGCTCGCAGGCTGTGCATGAGTTTTAGGTCTAATTCCGCTGCTGGTACACCGGTCAGAGAAGATAGAAGTTTGGGCGTGATTCTAGTTACCCTGTTGTGGGATGTGAAGCAACAATAACGCTACTGAGACTTGAAGCCTTCAGGCTCTATGATACACTTGGAATACATGAAGTGAACAAAAGGAATATGAAGTAATGACAGACGTTTGATCAAATTAACGTTTGAAAATGGCTCTTCACTAAGAGCTGTGTAAATAAGGTTAAAATGTGGTACGACAAGACAATCTGAACTAATAATCTACTCATCAACTTATTTCACTATCTCAAAATAAAGCGAATTAAAACTAATTGCTAAACTAGTAATGATAACACAAATGGGAGACAATATAAGGCATCTACTGTTATACCATATATGGAGGGGACATCTGAGACCCTACATAGGATTCTTAATAAAGCAGGAATTAGAGTGGCATTTAAACCTACAAACTCACTCAGATAGGATAAGCTCTGTAGGTCGAAGGACCCAGTTGACCCAATTAGACAGAATAATATCATTTAAATAATAACCTACAATGAGTGTGAGGTCAGACTAGTAGGTCAGGGGTAGTCAGATTGTCGGAACATAAGAATTTAGCTAAGGTGAGAATGGTTGACCCCGAAAAGATTAGTAATTTAGAAAAAAAGCTCAGCAATTGCACTGCAAACAATAACAGACAACCACACAACAGGGTGGGTGGGAGAGGGTTAAAATTCTAAGAAGTAATATAGGTAGGTGGAGAGTGTGAGAGGTTGATTACTGAATCCTTGATCATAGAATCTACACCCAACATGTGCAACAGGAATGATTCATCATTCATACTAGAAATATGGAAAATACTACTGCCAATCAAATCAAGCGAAAATCAAGTGAAAAATAATGGAACTATATAAATGAAGTTAGGAAGTAGTTTGAGTACCTTGATATGATTATGAGCAATAAATTGTGCTCGAAACGTTACCCGTAAGTATTACTGTATAACACTGTGTGAATTTATAAAAATAAATTTTATGCATAATGGAATTATATTCTGCCACAGTGCACAAGTTTTATTCTTATATTATTTGTCCATCGACTGGCATATAAAACTCAGCTTCTGGTTATGATTCAGTATCACTTCAGTTCTTGGAGTTCTTCCTTGCTGATAGTTTGTCAAACTTCAGCTAATGCTATCAGAAACCGGTTAATCGTCAAAGTGTAGTCAATCACTGTTGTCTGGAATCAGTTTTGATTTGTACGCCAAAAGAGTTGCCCAGGCAGCTGCTAGTCAGCTAATGAGGAACAGAGAGCTGCTACATATCACAGAACAACTTTCTAACTAAACAATACAGATAAGACTAAAGTGTTATAATATCTCCGAGTGTAAATATATGCAAATGATGACTGAACGCTTGATAATTTTCTGGTTGATTATTGCCTGAATTGAAACTAGTAAATTTTTGAACACTCACACAGTAAAAAATGGAAAGGTGTATTTCCAAACCGAGTGAGAGAGAAAGTGAAAAAGAGTACGAAAATATATGATAAATAATATATATTGATCTAATAAAAAGACATGAATAGTAGACGTTAACGGCACGCTGGATTCTGACTGTTTGACGTCTATCATGTAACAACATGCAATTTACTGTTATATGACTGAAAGACTAATGAGATAGATTCTGGACTCATATCACTGCAACGCCCGCACTCCGTTCAAGAAGACTGATGACGACGAATGTCAGACTAATGACCATCTGTCTTGCTTTCCCGATCCCATCCTGGTTGGCTTTGACATCTTCATCCGTGCCGACTTCTTGTAGCTGATAAGTGGAAGAGGTGACCGCCTCCCTCATATTTCTCTGAATGACAACGAATGTTGCCTATTGTTGCTGGTTAAATAGCTTTGTAACGACAGAAGACAAGGGGCCCAGACAACAGATCGTTTACTGAGAAAATCAAGACATATTTATGGACTTTTATGTACATTATTATTAGTGTTATTGTTAGCAGAGGAGCGACGTCTTCTGGTTGGTTGTTTTCTTGCTGAAGGTTCTTCTGTACTGCTTTTAACAGTTTCTTAGAAAGTTAAGTCACATATCTGTGAATCATATTTGCACACATTAGATCTGGTGTAAATTCTCAAGGTTAAGCTCTGTTATTGCTTGTTCTCATGACCCCGATTCAGGACGCAACATTGACGAAAATTGTTGTCTACAATTTTCGGCTTGCAGCTAGCTCTCACCATACCTTCATTATTTCTGTCCTCTGTGTTCTGTGTTTTCTGCCAGCGTTTAAGTTTTTGCTCTTGAGTCTTTGAAATTGTATAACACTAGACATTATTCATTCATGAAGTCCACATCTTTTGAAATCTTCTGGTAGGTTTAACTTCCCACAACCTATGGTCTGTAGTGTGGTCTAGTCCACCATGATCAAGAATATCATTCATAATAGAAGACTGCCTTGTCTTACTCTTGTCTTCATTTCAAAAGCTTCGCTGAGCTTTCGGTTGTGAATCTATTGACATGTGGGTTTGCTATATAATTGCTGAATAAGGTTGATATAGGTATACAGTACCTTACTGTTTAATGCCAAATTAGTTTCTAAGTTCAAGTGTTGGCTTGTGGGGACTTGAATGGTTACAGGATTTCATCATGAGGTGACGTCAGTTAGAGAACCATTGGAAAACTTGGGAGTACTAGACAGCTGTTTCGTCCTAGTTTGGGACTATTCAGCAGTACACACCCACCGCAATTCGAACCCACAACCTCCTGGTTACAAGGCGAGGTCTTATACCACTAAGCCATTAAGTCCTGGGTTCAAATCCCGGTGGGTACGTCCTGATGAAGAGTTCCATCGTTTCACAAGATGAAAACACCACCCAACACTGATTCGTTTATAACGCTTCTCTAACTAGTGTCAATTAGTGACAACGAAAAGAAATTCTGCAAAGTACGTTAAAAAAAATTGTTATCACTTTCATTGAGTGCATTTTCTTTTTTGAAAAAGCACCAGTCAGTTATTTGTATATTACTGTACTTTTACAAAATTTCCTTCGCTTATCATCCCCACCTTACCCCTGTCGCCTTTACATTTATTGAATTCAAACAACTTTAGGTTCTCTGGGATTTTGTATTTGCTCCAAACAATGGCCCACAAGCTCACTGTGTCAATTCTCAAGATCTATCAAAGCCAGAAATCTATAATAACATTAACATCAACAACAACAACACCAACTTATCAAGTAATTTATTGAAATGTGCTAATGCAGCTTTATCGAAATCCTCATTATCGTCATCATCGAAAATTGAAAATGCCATAAAGAGAAAGTCTGCGTAATGTTTTGATTTAGCACGTCGAACTCCTCCCATTTGTCTCTCCGTGTCGATGTTATCCACCCGTTCATGATTGTAGTTTTCTGACAACTGAATCTACTCCCATGTTGCTGTGATTTATTATATAACTTATTAGGCAATCAACACTCTATGTATCCTTTTACACAAACATAACTACCGAGGGGAAATAATCAGACTAACTACTCCATTAATTTATTTATTGGCTTTGACCTCTTATTTACTTACTAAACACAAACTTCTGTGTTCACTTTACATGTTTTCACAGTGATCGCTTGGCATCTTCGAGCAGTGAATTTCTACTTATTAACTCATGATAATAATAATAATCAGTTTTATGTACTATAGTTCCTCTTCCACTATTTTCTCCTATTTTACCCCTTTATACAATACTAGTTGTCATGCATTTTTGTTTAAATGTATGTAACATGGGTGTTTGTGTAACTGTGTCTTATCCCATTTCAATATGTATAACACTTACTGTCTCTGAGTTGTATGCATCAGTTTTCCAATGTGTTTACAGTTGTCTGTGTGGGATGTTTTATATACTTGTGTTATGTGTGTGTGTGCCTTATTACCCACTTTCTGTTCTGTTTTTTTACCCTACTCTGTGATTGTTTTTGAAATGCTCAACTTTTAATATGACGAAAAAATATACCGATATGTGTTTATTGAAGATAAACCTAATGATAATTACACAATCGTAATTATATTTAACAAAAAGAAAGCATAAGACCAATCAGACACTGGTTAAAATTTGTCCTCGAAGAAGGTATTACGTAATGTAAGGTGTAGTCTAGAAGGGGTGACAAATTGGAAATTAGAAAAGAGGTCTGAAACCTGGAATTCAAAGGTGACACTGAAGCGCGAATTCTTAGAAACCGACTTTCTAAATATCCGAATAAAAGGTTTCAAGCAGCCAATAAACTCATCAAGTCATTGATAAGATAACGCTTTTGGTCACCTCCCTGTGCACTTATCGGTTTACTTGCTCGTGTCGAGCAAATTATATCGGACGTTTTGAAACGTCATCAGTTAATATTACTGTACAACACTGTGTGATTTATCCATAATAGAATTATTATCTTCCAGTTGTGTGTATTCAGAAACTGTACGTGTTTTTGATCTCTTCAGCATTAAAACTGCTTGCGATCAATAAAAATGTCAGGTAAGTGTTTCATACATCAGGTGGTGAAAACTGGAGGTGACTGTTTAATAAGCAATGCAATACTGAAACTTTCACATCATTCATTATTAAGTGATATAAAACGAAAGGTGTTCAGCGAAGAGTTACTCCTCTTTTCAATGATATCCCCCTCAAGCCCTACAGTCGCATATGTATAATAAATTGTCCTGGCAACAAAATGAAGATCTCAAAGATATGTCATTAGAATTGCAAGTTTTAGATAATAAATTTGGTTAATGGCTTAGAAATTAAAATAAGATTAAGTAAGCAAGTTGAGCGAAGTAATCTAATGAATGGGGTTGAGTAGAGCTCAACCACAAGCACTTTCTGCTTCCAAAATACTTCTCTGCCTGAATCGAAAATTCAATGGAGATTCGTCGGTAGAAATACTTAGAAACCACCAGTCCTGCTTACTGAAGAAAACCTTCGTGGCTGAACTCCGATTAAACTTCTCTATGAAGCCGAAGATACGCATGAACGTGAAGGATAAGCTGCCACTGTTGACCAGCCTCATCAGTGTGCATCTATCATTATACGTGCTTGTGTGGAGCTAAGTATGTTGCCTCTACCCAGTGCTTGCTAACTTAACTTATCATCGAACACCTACCTTCGTAGTTTTATAAAGGAGTAAACATGTCCTCCCCCCCCCTTCCCATCGAAGATCTATTCTGTAACACCAGATCAAGTCAGAACAACAAGCAAACTCACAAAGTAACTTCAAAACCGTCCACAGAACAAGTGGGAATCTTAATAAAAGAGGACGAATCGAACTTCTTTAAACCGCAGAAGCAATGGCAATTCGCATTTTAAAACCTGAATTAAATCTACAGTGGACGTGACCTATCTTGATGTCAAATACATAATACTGTTCCGTCTTTTTCTTGCTTGTTCGTTTCTTATTTGTAAATTATTTTCTACCCCACCGCTTATCACCACCGTTGCTAACTTCACTTTTGTTTAATTTCAATTCTAGTTGAGCTCTACTCAACCATGTCACTTAGATTACTTCACTCGAATTGCTGATGTAATCTTATTTTAGTTTCTATCCAGTTAACGAAATTTGTCAGCTAAAATGTACAATTCTAATGACAGATCTTTGAGATATTCATTTCGTTGCTAAGGCGATTTATTATATATGTATGCAATTGTAGAGCTTGAGAACGATATCGCCGAAAAGAGGAGTAACTTTCTGCTGAACACGTTTTCTTCTATATCACTCATTATTCCCTAGTCTTGAAATTAGGTTGAAGCATCCAGAGATTGATTACCTCACAATATGATGGTCAGAAGTGAAGGCAGTCCCGTTAGGATTAGCGTCACTTAGTGCACCACAAGTCTTTGTAAGAGATTATAGGGGTCATGTGAATCGCTGGCTGAGGATATGGTCGTACATGACTCAGCATTCATATTACAAATTCAGATTCCGTGCTTCTTTCATTATCAGAATTACCAATAAAGGGTAAAAGCCTTCTTAAATTGTATTGAATAAGAAGACTTACCTTAACTTCATGTTATACATGAATTACTTCCTACATTTACTCGTTTACATTCCCTCTATGCAATTATTATAGGGCATCTAATACTGCATGTGATTTTAACGAATCAATGATTAATTCAATAACAATAACAACCTGCTATATGTCATACGTTAAGCAGTGATATAATCAGTTGAGTAAACTGGTGAGCAAGTAATACACTAAACTAGTGAGCAAAGAGTTGTTTGAGTGGAGTTCAATAAAGTATTAAAGAGCAAAACTTTATGTTTCACTCATCTATTGTAGTGATACGGAACTATCTGAAGGTGAGTTAATACTCCGATGTGTGGGTAGTCTACCCAGCGCTTTGGAATGTCCGACTTCCCCTTCTTTGTCTCCTTATCACCCTCTTTCATTGTCTCTCTGTCAATGCAATCCATCTGTTTTCATTGTAATCTGCTGACAGTGTTTGTGAAGGTCCATTTTCAGCAGTCATTCTTCAAGAAAGAATCGGTAGAGAATTTTATTACTACTCTATTATATACCGCAACAAACATTAATTAGTTTCAGGTTATACGACTGATTGATATCAGTCAGAAGATCAATGAACACCAGGAGGTAGTGAACAGCTGTTTCGTTCTGTTTCGCTCACATCGGCAATAAACATCCAGTCGGGTCAAACCCAGGACCTTGCGGTTACAAGGCAAGCTCGTATATCATTCAGCCACTGGGACTCAATTCAATGGCCAGTCCATGAGTTCCAACTTCTACCAATTCGTGATTCTATCGCGGCAACCAACCCATGTCGTCAGCGGTTACTCCATCGTCACTCCCGACTGAATGGACTTCACTGGTCATGACTCCCCACTAGAACTCCAGTTGACTTCGTCCTGTAGCCAGTTACTAGCGAGCATGCCTGGTTTTCAATGTTTCTCTGACTGATATCAGTCCTTTTCTTACCTGAAACAAATAGAATCCCTACGAATGACATCATCTCCAGGTAGTCGAATGGAATCCGAATTCTAAACGCTGAATTGTGAATTTGAATGGGTCATTTAGGAAGTAGCGTAAACCGGATCTTATGGGCAACCATGGACCCAGCTAAAAAGGACTACAGAGTACACGGTGATGCTGTTGAAGCCATATATTCCACCTGGATCCAAAGGAAGTGATGGAGTTGGTTAACTGACTGAATCTCGCTGACTGTATAAGACCCTGTACTTAACCATTCAAATATATATATATATATATAGCCTATTCAGTGAACTAGAATTTGGACATATTTATTCCAATATATTTCAATAACATTTTAACAATTCTCCTACTGTAATCCATTTATTCTTTATTATGCAAAAGCTAAAGCATATTGCTAAGCTATAGAAGTACATTAGAAATAGGTATGTCCATATTCTAGTTTACTCAAAATTGTATATTTTCAAATGGTTTAGCAACATGTTGCTCCCTACATCTGGATTGCTTTGTCCAAATTCTGTTCCAGTTTGAGAATGTTGTGTATTTGTAAAACTCAGAGAAGTCTTAGATGACCTCAGATACCCAGCCTTTCTATTCATTTGTTTTGGTAGAGTGCTAGTCTTTTATACAGATAAAAGTCCGCTTGAAAATCTATGGAATAGAGCTTCAAAAGTGGTTTAGTTTCAGTCGCTTCACTTGATTTCAGGTTAGGTGTATACGATAGCCTTCTGATTGTGCCCTCCTTTTTGTTTAATTCTTAATTCATCTTCAGATGTCGATTTGTAGGGATTTGATTGATTAATTACATCTATCTAACTAATCTATTTTCATTCACGTGGTTTTGCGTTCATTGATACAGAAATTCATCTCTTAATTGCATGTTGACTACTTCGAAACTCATGACGACATCTGATGAATGATGTAAGGCCGAATTAGTATTGTCCGATTTATTAGTGACAGGTGAGGTGACCAACTTCTGATTCTAGAAACACATTCATGCTTACTGTGGAAGGCAAGACAGACCTACATTACTCTAAAACCAATGCAGAGATCAGAATCACAACAAATAAGGAACAGGATCTATATCTTTAGTAATAGTGTCAAGTCAGACAAGGTTTCCGTATAGTTCATAGTATTAGCCCATGGATCACACAGAGCACTTTCAACAGGCCACTACAAAGATCTACCAATATCTAATTACCTTCGCTCGATAGTGAGAATCGGATGATAGTTAACAACAAACCCTGGTGGAAAGTGAACCGACAAAAACTTATTACTCACCTAACGAATATTTTTTTGATTACAGCTTGATGCCAAACCGTATTTTTGGTACAGGTATGGAATTTTCAGCATGTGATATCGGTAGCTCAAATTTTGCAGGCCGACCATAGATATCAGGTGTACGTCGGCAGGGCATCGAACCTCGGACCATATGCATGGTCGGCGAGAGTCCTAACCACTGTGCCACCGACGCACACAAAAAGAAGATGACAGTGGATTAGATATGCACCTAGAAAACCACTGTGCTACATATCAACCAGACTGCCGACTGGAACCTGAGAGGAAATTGACAAGCCTGGCGTGTGTTCAAAGTTAAACACGGAAAAGATCATGTTGAGAAGAAATTAAAGCTTGTGGGCTGTCGTGGAGCAATCTGAAAATGAGAACAATCAACAGAATACAAAAGAGATGTGTTACTATGGCTGCATATTCCACTGGCGATGAATAATAACAACACCAATAAATTAGACAACACCTTTGAAACTAGATTATTGCGCCGAAAAACCTCACTGGTTTCCTCTAATAAGCACGCAGAATATATTCTTCACGACTGGTAATAAAGCGATAACTACTGTCATTTTTTGGGTCTATAGTCTAACACCCTAATTCGATTCTAACAGTTAAGTTTGCATGTTACCACGACACTGGGTGAGGCGGGTGATGTATATCAATTGCAATGATGCCATCACTAACTTACACACAACTAGCCACGATACAGTAAGGATGAATAAAACAAAAGCAACAGTTTGGGCAGAATAAGATTGTACCGTCATTGTTAGTTCCGTTGGCTTTTCATCACCTGAGCACAGACTGAAGAAATTATTAAGTTCACTCACAGAACAATTTTAACATACTTGCAAATGTTACATAATGTTAGTTGACAGGTGACTCCAAACTTGATAAACAGTGCCCAGAGGAGAAGAACTAAACTATATTGTCTGCTGATAATTTTAAAGGA